AACTTAACTGGTTAATATTTAGGATGAAGATTTACATTTCTCCATTGTATGTGGGCATACCTCCCTGCTCCCTCTCTCAGCTCACATTCTGATGGAGCCCCTACCCAAGCCAGGCTGTGCTGAGCATCACAGGGAGGAGAGACACCATTCTGTCCCCAGGGAACCAGGAAAACAGCATGACAGGTCCTCAGTTAAGGATCTTAAATCAGACCTGAGGAATCTGAGTATGGAAAGTCACCCCCCTACAATGAGCAGGTGTGAATTTGTGGGAAGGGGATTATGAAATGAGAGGCACCAATATGGAAAGCTTTTCCTCGGTAAACCTAACAATAGAAATGATGAAAGTAAAAACTGATGCCTTTGGTTTTACAAACAAATCATTAAGATTTAATGCCAAAATATAGGTAGTAGAAAACAACAACACTACATTTAGAGAAACTGTGTGCACAGTTAATCAGGAAAACCTCTGTTGTGCTTTGGTCTAAGGAGGAATATTTGTTAAAAATCTGACTTGTTTTAAAATCATCCAAACTTAATCATTTGAAGAGGAAAATGACATACAAGTTCTGTATTTAATTTTGTTTATACATTTTCTCTCTCGTGTTGGTGGGGGAAAAAAACCTTAAGCAATAGAGGAGAAGCTCATCTCCTGACTGTTGGAGAGAAAAGATAAATGAAGCCACCGTGATCAGTCCAGAGCAGTGCCTGTAGGTTTACAGGGACAGGCCAGCTCGCCTTGGTCAGGCCGGCTGAGCCAGTGTGAATCGAGGTCAGTGATTATTAATCATCTGTCAAAGTCTACAGGGATTTATCGGATAATTATAGTTATAAGTATGTTCATATCGCACAAACATGTGGCAAGGCTGCAAAGGATTCAAGCCCTAACACAATCTGCAAGGACATTTAAAAAAATTATGGATAAATCATAAAGCAAACACGTTAGAAAGAAAACCATGCCGTTCATGACTGTTTGGTCAGTCTAGAATTATTTTCTATATTGTTTATTTCCATAAACATTTGGAACCTTAAAGAGCCTTTGACTACCTTCCCTCCTCCCCCCTTAATTTTCCAATGAGTTGTAAAAATAGCAAGCGTAATCATCATTTGAAACGCAAGACTGGTTATCGACTCCATCCATATGAACAGACAACCAGAATGTAATCACAGCTTACTTTATAAAACCCGTTCCTGAGCAAAAATATCTTGAGCTGTTCTGAAGAATCTACATGAACACATACGTAGATGTGCCTAAGGGACAGCTCTAAACCCCGCAAACCAATAGATGGCATTTTAAAATAAATGACTGAAGACTGTGAACAGCATCCATTTTGCTCAGTTTGGCAACATGTAAGTTTACATGCTAGGAAACATTTCTCAACATGAATGAACTGTGAAATTGTTTCCTCCTCCCAACACTCCTTTAAATTGTATTAGATTATGTTAGCCATTTCTACACATTGTCATACAAGCTGTCAGTGCCCCACGATGCAGTGTGGGTGAACAATGGAAGCAAGGGCCCCAGCAACTGAGATGCTAAGTGTCCATCAGAATGTTAGGCAAAAATAGTGGGAAATATCACCCCTGTCCCCCATGCCTACCAAAGCAAGGGGAAATGGCTTTGTTGCAAATCTAGACACACAAGGGAATATGATTTGGTGAACCATGTGTATTTCAATCCCCAGATTGCAAACTTCTCAGGAAATGACTAACATTGTATCTATCCCACCCTCCATCCAATATCACTGCATTGCCCTATGAGTGCAAGTGAACTCTTTTACTCTAAGGAAACCACTATATGAATATATGCAGAGTTTTAGCCATTTTTACCCTAGAGATAACTTTTCAAAACACAAATTTGTCTGCATCGTGGACTGCATACTATCTTTAACTTTACTCATCAATATATAAAACTAAGAAGGTAATTATGGTACAGAAATAAAAATCTTCCCAGAATAAAATGTAAGTAAAAGACTGGGCATATTGGTTATTCTGTTATATTAATAAAGCTTGGGGATATTGGTTATTCTGTTATATTAATAAAGCTAACTGAAAGTTGACTCTCTAATATGTACATATGTGGGTATGAGTACATATAATTTACAAATCTTGGGTTCTTAGGTCTCTGGAGTAGTTGCAGATATTTCACTGAAGCTAACGTGGCCATTTCACCTCCCAAAGGGCACCATCATACTCTCCCCTCTTGGTGGACCTGCACACACATGTCCCCGATCCCCGTCATGTTTGCATTATTTTGATCACACCAACACTTAATTCAGGAAATCTAGAGCCTTCCTGCTTCTCATGTGTTGTTCAGAGCTTCTGCACACCAAACTTTCAACAAGGTTCAGACGAGATGCTTGTTTATCCAAGGGGGTAGACTTAGAGACTTACCTTTTCATTTCTTATTTTTTCAATAGTCATTATTAGTATCTTTTAACTTCAAAGTTTAATTTTAAAGTTCTGTATTCTAGGGTCTAAAGCATGGGATACTATTTATAAGAAATATAATACAAATCTTAAGAGGAATCATAGCTCTCAATTTTAAATTAAATCACATGTATTACATGATTCAGTTTATCCCATTTTTATATGATGATCTATGCTGACCTCATAATTTTATCATGTTCTTTATTTATGGTCCAATAATGCCTTTCTGCCAATTCTCCAAGCTACTGGATTTATGAGCCAAGAGCTAAGCCATGTAATCTGTAGATTTTCTGAACAGCCATATAATAATTTTCTAGGAAACTGGTGGATAACCTGCTGGAAAATGGTGTTGGAAGCATTTTACTTTTTGCTTTGAAATCTGGCTTTTAATTTTATTATGTGAAAATGTAGATTAATTTTTCATAAATGAATGACCATTTAATTGGTTAAATAAAATATGCTGTCTGCTTAGCTGGTGAATTTTCTTATATTCTCTCTTTGGGAATCAAATTTTAAAAGAGATTTAAAATCAAATACTACCACATCTAAACATTAATTAATTAATCCAATAATATGAGGTATGTTTCCTATATAGGGCAGTGTTCCCTTTAATAGTGGAACTGGTTTTCATATGGAAAGTCTATAATGAGTCTCATCAAAGTCACAAAATCATAAATCTGTAAGTGACCTCAGAGAGCTTGTTGTAACTGAAATCGTTTCCTTTACACATGAGGGTGCTCTTATTATTAGGTCTGAACAGTTTGAGAGGCTTGTCTAAGATCATACACTGGGTTAGTAGCAGAAGTAGGATGAAAATTAGGTCCCCATTTTCCTTTTATTGAAACAAAATGCTCCACTTTCTGACATCACTTTCCATCACTTTCATTTACTCAGCTTACAAGTCGTGACTGTTATAATTTGGACCAAAGTTGGATTTCCAATTACCTTGAAAGCTTATTCATATATAGATAAAGAGTTTATTGGTCAAATCTAGATGAGCTGCAAGATTGCAAGAGACATATACGCATATCAAGAGATAACTATTTTGAAGAATGTTTAAACACCTTTTTATATACACTGAAATTACAATCTTAGTTTTCAACTCCTTATCATATTTATTATGACAGCGACAATTCCCCCTACTAGGTAACATGCAAGAATGACCAGATCAAGTATATAGACCAGAAACACGTAGAAGAGATTACTAATAAAGAACACTTACTCTACCTATGTCATGAATATTCTGGACCCCATTAAAAGTCCTGTAAACTATGTATGTGGTTTCCTGGCAGCCATGTTAATTTTACATGGCTTGGTTGGTTGGCTCTTCATTGCTGATTGGACCAGAAGTGGATACTTGGCCCAAGCTAGGCCAATCACATTCCTTCTCCTGGAAAGTAGGAACTGGGATTCAGACATAGACTGTCAGCCTCAGCATATATTTTGAAATGTAATATGTAAACTCAAGACAGCTATATGTGACTGAGAAGTAAAGAAAGCTGGTGCTTAGAAGAATTGAGCAGATAGGAAGAAGCGAACAGAGATGGCGTGAGGATACTGCCTGCCTGCCTCTCTGCTTTCTAGTTCCTAGTTTCAGATCCCTCCTGAGGCCTGGCTGCCCTTCGCTTCCAGGATACAGCCCTGTATTCTTATTTAACAAATTCCTTCTGCCTGTCTCAGGTGAGAGAGCTTGATAATGAGATGCATTTAGATAATGGGGTGCATTAGTTATTATAATAACTAATTAGATAATTAGTTATTATAATCTTATAACTAAGATCCTGTGGGTGGAGCCCAAGATAGACTGATTTTCAGTAAGTTCTTAGTATTTAATAAACAGTAATAAAGTGATATTGACTTATACTGATAAACTAGCTTATTTAGCTATTTTTAGAAAGCCATGTAATACTACAAATAATTCAAAATTTGAATTCAGATTCACTTATCTCTAATGAGCCTACTATAATAAGGTTCTTCTATATTGTCAAATGACTCATGTGTCAATGACATTTTTGAAATAATAAAATAATTTTGAGATTACAAACTTTGAAATTATGAAAAAAGAGAATGGCCACTTGAACTCATATTAGCTATCTTGATGAATATAAAGGCACCAGGTGATACAAAAAAAATTCATGCCTAAAATGTACTAAACTTCAAAGACCTATTAAGATGAAACACCTATGTAAATAGAATAATACTGAATAAATGAACACTTAAAGAGAGCTTGCTCTGTGACAGGAACTGTGCTAAGGATTTTTCATGTATTATTAGTCCATATGATCCTCCCCAAAATACTACGAGGTAATTATTATGCCTGAATTACTTTGACTTAAATGATTTTCTCAAAGTTCCACAGCTAGTAAAAGGTAGAAGTGCTATTTAAACCTAGTTACACTATTAACCATGACACCATAGTCTGATTAAGAAAAGTAGGCTGAATTAAAACATCTATAGAAAAGAACTCTGGAAGCCCTTTGGAAGTTTGGAAAACAATTTCATGAAACCAAGAAAAATGCACAGTCAATTCCTAAATAATCTTAAAAAAAATTTAGCTTATTAATGATTCTTACCGGGGGTTAGAAGGAGAAGGTGGATTCATTTCTTTCTGATAGTGACGACCCTGATTGACAGGCTGTAAAAGACAAAACATTTGTGAGGTACTAATCAGCATAATGCTCTTTACAGGTACTTTCACATGCACTCTCATTACTGTAATTTTTTCCTCAGAAACAACCTGTAAGAAGGGGCTGGTTTATTTTACAAAAAGTTGAAGGCTGTTTGGGAGACCCAGCAAGTAACAAAGTGGTATATGTAAGAAAACACAGGTTATTTTAATGGCCAGTCACTGGATTAGACAGCATCTATGGTGTAATTAAAGTTCAGGTGTGGAATCCTCCTCCTTGTGGAATTTTTATACTGTTAACAAAGGTTGCTATTTCCAGATACAACAAAACAAAACAAGACCTCTCCTGGAACTAATGCTGTATAGCAAGTATCAGCAATAACCTGGAGATCCGGAGATACAGAATATATATATTTATATCTCAATGTTACTAAGTTTGCAAGGATAACTTCTATTTTCTTTTTGGGTCTTCACTGCTGTGTGCGGGCTTTCTCTAGTTGCGGCAAGCGGGGGCTACTCTTCGTTGAGGTGCGCAGGCTTCTCATTGCAGTGGCTTCTCTTGTTGTGAAGCACAGGCTCTAGGTGTGTGGGGTTCAGTAGTTGCGGTGTGCAGGCTCCATAGTTGCAGCTGGTGGGCTCTAGAGCGCAGGCTCGGTAGTTGTGGTACACAGGCTTAGTTGCTCCGTGGCATGGGATCTTCCCGGGCCAGGGATCAAACCGGTGTCCCCTGCATTGGCAGGCAGATTCTTAACCACTGTGCCACTAGGGAAGTCCTCTATTTTCGTTATTGGAATTACACATGTAAATCTTAGGTCAAGGTGGTCATTTTCCCTGAGTGTATACTAAAACCTCAAGCATTAATCAGAGAACTGAAAAAAGTGATGCCAATACCTGACAAAAATATGAAATCTGAATATCCCCCTCCGCAAGAAATCTTTAAGTTACTACCTTTTACAAAACATAGGTAAACAGCTTCATTCCACGCAAGCTTTAAACACTTGCCTCCAATGGAACTTGATGTTTTTCCTTTGCTCTATAAAGGGAGAAAATTTCATTATATCTGATAGAAATTCTCTTTTTGAATATCACCTCGAAGTATTTTCCTTATGTGGTTAACAACCATGCAATTCTAATATGAAAATCATTTTTAACATTTTCATTTTATTACAATTTGGAATTTGGTACACATTTTTGAATTGCATTTAGAGGACTTCTGTTAATTCCTTACCTAATGGGTTTGGCGTTAAGGTTTTCTCAGCCATAATGTGGACCCATAGTGCTGATCCCAACTGAAGAAACCAGCGTAGCAATGATGCCTGTACATAAAAGGCACATATTCCTTATTTTCCACATATTCCTTATTTTAATGGGTCCTAAAATATTAATGACATGGGTGATGGGAATTCTTTAAACTGTCTTCCTCTACAAATAATCTCTTGGAAGTGTTCCTTTAATTTAAATCAAACACCCTGTCTAATAATCACAGTCACTTAGCCTATCTGTGATGCCCCATGAACTTGAATGTACTCAGATACTTTGGTAATTGAACCAATATCAGTGCATCACCATTTCAGTAATAAGAAAAAACAGCTGGGAGAACAGTGGAAGGAAAAACATGTCATAAGACATATTTGATCTCACTGGAGAAATAAGACTTCCAGCAATTTGCAAGTGAAATTTAGTTCTATGCTTTAGGCTTTATTATTTCACAGCAAAAAAGGAATTACTAAGCAAGGGGACTAACAGATTCTCCAGACAAACTCACAGTGGTGCAGAAATACTCCTGATAATACATTCATTAGTATTCGTCCACAATTTCACCTGTACTCAGGCCTCTAGTGAATGGATCTCTGCCTATTTACTTTTAGAGGCATTTAAATAACTCTCTAAGCATCATAGTCCTGATATTCAGGCAAATTTCCACTTTTCTTAATTTTATACTGATAATTGTATTTTATACCTGTCCCTAACCCCCTTATTCCAAATGACTTACTCGAGTCTCTGGAGAACAGAAATGGTTACAGAATCCTATTTGGTTTGTGACCGAGTTCTTACATAGACTACATAGACTGGCCCTTTCATGTTTGCTCATGTTTATATAAAACAGATCCAATGAAACAAGCAGTGCAAAAGAACACTAAAATAAAAGATTCACATTCACAGTGATTTTTAAGTGTTAGAAAACAGAAAAATAATCAGGGGAAACTTTTTGAAGTAGTAAGGACTGCTGACATGAATAGACAGAAAAGTAAATGAAAAAACTCAGTTAAAAATAATTGTAGGGGGGCTTCCCTGGTGGCGCAGTGCTTGAGAGTCCGCCTGCCGATGCAGGGGACGCGGGTTCGTGCCCCGTTTCGGGAGGATCCCGCATGCCGCGGAGCGGCTGGGCCCGT